GATGATTCACAAAAAATGATTTATACGTTCTCATTTATACGTTCTCACTGTTCGAATGCGAAGTACGAGTACCACAATGTCTAGTAGGTGAAAGTGGTGTTAATGGTTTTTTGACTGATTTATCTCAAAAGTGTTTGCGACAGGATGCTCTGTTGGCATACAGTTCACTGTCGACTAAAAATATGATTTGGTAAGGCTGCATATGGGGGATCCTCAGGATGGCTTCTATGGGATTGTGCTAGAGATCACGATCGTCTTTGCCCCAAGTGATCATTCCTTTAAATGTTTTTTCTGTAAAGTTATTTTTGTGAACTGTCAGGTTCAACACTGTTACGACAATCATAACAACGCGCAGATCTCTTGTTCTTACCCCCTCCTTTCTCACCTCCTTCACAATGTTACAATTTCTGTTCCCCTTCGCTTTCGGCTTCCCTTTTCTTCCACTTCCTCCTTTTTTCTATCTTTCTTCCTTCTCCTCTTTATGCGACCGTCATACTGACGAGGTCCAGTCGCAGTGCTGAATTACGACGTACATGACTTAATGGATCAAAACGTCTTATCTCGCTCTAACCTTCTCTAATCTACACTATTTCTTCCTTCCTGAATTCCTTCGCACTTTCGCCATCTGCACTTCCACGGTCAACCTAGATGCTGCAGTCTACTTAACCATAGTCAAAAAAAAAAATCTTTCAAAGTAATACTAAAGTTGAGTAGGTGAATTTCAGTGTAGTCACGAACCTAACTGCACCAGGAAACCGAAGTCCTTGAAAACTTCAACCCAATTAATTCTTGGTACTTCCACGCAGTTGATGGGAATTGTGACGGAGTCCAGGAAACAATGCTACCAGGTTGAAGAGATAAATAAGCGGCTACGAGTTTTCTCCTTCTGGCAATCCTTTTCAAAAAAAGCAGAAAGAAACAGACGAGCAAATGCTAGAACTCCCAATCATCTAAACAACAAGCGGTGCAGCCTCGATCAAAGTAACATGTAGGGGGTGCTAGTCGAATCCGCTGGAGCAGTGGTGCTAGCGAAGATGAAAATATGCAATTTTACAATTTTGATGAAAATATGCAACTTTCGAATGGCAAAAAAGAAGGAGACCCACTTTGACGCCACGTTCGTAGTTCCACGCCCCGTGTACAAGCAAAAGACGGCGTAAAAAATGAAACTGAGCAATAGCATAATCACTAGCCGATGCTGCTTGCAAGCCTTCCTCACCGGATATTCCAATACCAACGTTCGCAGCCTTAAACATTTTGAAGAAATGCTACAGGCCTAAGTTAAAAAAAAATCTTTTTGCTCCAAGTATACAGAAGTGTAGCATTTTCATTCTAACAGCATATTTCACTGAATATCATTCGCCGGTCAGCAGGGGAGTAAGTCGTACTGAGCAAGTTTAGCCGCCTAAAACGTCTCCTCACGGCATGTTGGAGCTACCAAAACCTTTGCTCCGCGGTGCGTCGACGCTGTTAATCACATACCATCATCACAAGGTGTCTGGTACGGAAATTTTTGGGAAAACTGCACCGCAGAAGCACCGAAAAACAATGAATAGGCAAGTAGCTGTTCAAAAGAAGCAGGCCCAGCAGAAATGCTGCCGAAACCTGGCTATAGCTTGAGTTCTGTGGTCAGTATTTCAAGCACGTTGGTAATTTTTAGGCTTGCAGAAGGATGAGATGAAAAACTGGAAAAACCGAAGAATGAGTAATTCAGCTGATGTAGTACTGTGGAAATACAATCAGCACGATGCTCTGTGGCGAAAAAGCATCTGCTCCTTGACGAAAAATCATCACAGAAAGTAGTAAGAACTAGTAATGTTGGGCTAAAATACACTTGTTGTTGGAACGAAACAGAATTAAAAGCAGCGTACGCCAGAGGAGTCAACATAACCATGCATTTTATGCGATTTTTTGCCCAACAAATGCTTGTTGTGCAAAAATCTTCGCAGTATTGTTTGGTTCTAAGTTAGAAAATTTCCCGTCAAAAATTCCATTTGCCACATGCATTTCCCGTCAAATTTCACATGAAATCCAGATGTGCGTATAAGCTGAATTTAAATTTGTGGGGTCACACAGGGTCAGGAAATATCCGTCTAAAATTTTAGCTTTAGCTCTTGCCTGATTCCTAATTTGGAAAGCCACGTGTCGATGGAATCTGAGAGTACATGGAAGCTAAATCTGAATTTCCGGGATCGTAGAGCGTACCTTCGTCAAATTTCAGCTTTCTATCCTGTCTGGTTTCATCAGCGAAACGTTAACAAGTTCCCGCCTGAACATTCAAGTGTTCATAAGTGAATAGCAGCAGTGTATTGGGGAAAGAAAC